CATGTATGATTCAGAGGTTTAGGACCACACCTCCTCAGATAAATGTCACCACGGCATACTTACCACCAAGGCACCTACATCCTGCTCTCCACTCTCCCTCCCCAGTAGTCTCAATTCTACAGTCAGACTCTTAAGGTTTCTTATATGGGCTGCCTGATTCTTTGTTTCATTTGTCTATAATCCACATATAAATGAAACCATTTGTCTTTCTCCTTCTGACTTATTTTGCTTAGCATTATGCTCACCAGTTCCATGTACATTGCCTGCCCAAAAGATAAAGAGTTCATCTTTTTTATGGTTAAGTAATATTCCATATCTTTCCACTCCACTGTCTCTGGACACTTAGGTTGTTTCCTAACCTAAACCTGTGGTAAATAGACTACAATGAGTATAAGAGTGCACATAACTCAAGTTAGTGTTTTTATATTCTTTGAGTAGATACGTATGAGTGAAACTGCTAGATCATATGGTAGATCTATTTTTAATATTTTGAGAAACCGACATATTATTTTCCATAAGGGCTGGGCCAATCTACATTCCTTCCAACAGTGTACGGGAGTCCTTTTTCTCTCACTTCCTAGCCAATACTTATTGTTTCGGGTCTCTTTGATATGGGCTGTTCTTACAGGTGTGAGATGGTATTTCATTGTGATTTTGATTTGCATTTCCCTGATGATAAGTGGTGTTGAGCTGTTTGCCATATGTATGTCTTCTTTAGAGAAGTGTTTATTTAGTTCTTTTGCCCATTTTTTGATTGGGTTCTTTGTTTCCTTCTTGTATTATATGAGTTCCTTGTAGATCTTGAATAGCAGTCCTTTGTCAGATGTATGATGTACAAATATTTTCCCCACTCAGTAGGGTGCTTTTTGTTTTAATAATAGTTTCTTTTGCTGGGCAGAAGCTTTTTAGTTTGACTAGTCCCATTTGTTTATATTCACTTTTATTTCTCTTACCATCGGAGAAGAATCCACAAAGACATTACTGAAATCAGTGTCGTGGAGTGTTTTGCATAGTTTCTTTGGATTTTATATCTTCATGTCTTACATCCAAGTTAAAAGAGTGTTTTAAAGCATGTGTTTTAGATTACCCTCATTGTCTTGCCTCATTCTCTTATCTTGTCTTCTTTCTGCCCTATATTTGTCAGTGACGATCTCATTTGTGATTATTCTGGAAGAACAGTAGGTTGGGGGCGGGGGTTTCTAGTTTTAGCATTACCCTTCATTTGCTGTGGATTTAATGTCCAGCTAGTATTGATTGAGCACTTCTGTGATGTATCCAACATCTGCTTAATATTGTCATTTGCAATCCCCTGGAGGGATGTGCTTAGCTCTTCAAATGAAGTCCTAGAGTCGTGCTATCCAATAGAACTTCCGAGACTGTGGAAACATGCTTTCTCTGTGCTATTCAATGCATAGGCTCTAGCCACAGGTAGGTATTAAATGCTTAGAATGTGGCTACTATAGCTGAGGAAAAGAATTTTATGTTTTATTCAATTGCAAATAATTTCAGTTTAAATAAACTCATGTCTCTGTTGTCTATCAGATTCAAACAAGAATGATTAGGGCAAAATAATTATGTCTTCCCCAAGTTCTTCTGTTGACATCCTAAATTCCAGTAATGTCAGAATACTTAGAGTATTTAGAGATCAAGCTTTTAAAGAGGTGAGTAAAGTAAAATAAGGTCATATATGTGAGCCCACATCCAACAGGAATGATATTCTTGCAAGAAGAGGCAGTAGGATACAGACACATGCACACACACAATGACCATGTGGGGAAGATGGCCATCAACTAGCAGAGGAGAGAGGCCTCAGAAGAGACCAGCACTGCCATCACTTGATCTTGGCCTTCTAGCCTCTAGAATTATGAGAATCAATTTCTCATAATTGTATATTTGTTAGAGAAGTTCTAGCAAACTAAATACAAAAGGCTTTTCAATTACATGACAAATCCTCTCAGTGAATTAACCAGGAATATTTTCAATCATATACACTTAAAAGCGTAAGCTACAAAGAAAGTATACCAGAAACTGTAGTTGAATGAAGAAAGCAGGAAAATTTATAATTACATTTAAATGACTACTGATGGATAATTAACAAAACTAACTACAACCTGGAGCTAAAATCTATTCAATTTACACATGGGAGGTGGTGGGGAGGTGTGCAATTGCCAGATCTGGGTGAGGGTGAGGGCCTCCTGGTAATAGTGAAAATACCTGAGGTTCTTATAAATTTCTCATTTTATGGAAGAACAATATAAATTACCAATTAAATATAGAAACCAATAAAATAAACATTTATAGTCACATTTGCTTTTAAAGTATTCATTTCTAAGTTACGGGAGAAAAAAAAATGACTCCTAAAAAGCTATCCAATCCAATAAAATGTAAGAAAAATCATTATTAAAACAAGACATAAAAATAAGATGAGAAGAAAGTTCATAAGTACCAAAAATCACAATAAATCGAGTGGGCTAGATCCTTTTTAAAAGAGAAGACTCAAGTTAGGTAAAACCAAAGATTTTTTTTTTTTTAAGATTTATTTATTTGTACATACAGAACTGGGGTACAGGCCAGAGGCTCAGGGGCGGTGAGAGGCTTCACCAGAGACAGAGTGGGGAGCAGAACAGGCAGATCAACGAAGTACACTGCTGAGGGGAGCAGCGGGCGGGTCAGGAGAGGTCTGCCACGCCATGTGGTCACCTCCTGGGCAGGCGGGAATTGAACTCATGCGGAAGTGGCTTTAGCTTCTCAGTTGCAGTGCTTTAACCCGCTGCGCCACCAGGGAGGGCCAAAACCAAAGATTTTTATCCATTATCAACTCTGGCAAGGAAAGGAAGATTCTGGAAATGTTCCTTTATCTTTTACCCTAAATGCAATATTAGTTATTCACAATAAAAATGCATTCTTATTACATGTATTATCAGAAAACAATTTTTTAAAAAGCCAGAAGCAAGTAGATTTTTTGATTCCAGGATAATCCTATATATTTTGCATTTCCCTTCGAGCAAGTCAAGTCCTTTCTTTTAATCTTAAAATAGGTAACTACAAAATTAAACTCTCAGGCCACATTTGTGACTTCTAAATATTGTCCCAAACAAATCTTTTAGAAACCACTTTGGGGCTCTTCTTGGTTAAAGCACTGCATTATGTAGCTCTCAGAAGCCACTGCAGCATGAGTTCGAACCCCAGCCAGGGAGCTGACCCATACGGCGTGGCAGACCTCTCCTGATCCACCTGCTGCTCCCCTCAGCAGTGTTTCAGTAGATCTGCCTGTTCTGCTCCCCACTCTGTCTCTGGTGAATCCTCTCACCCACCATACCTCTGGCTTCTACCCTAGTTCTGTAAGCATAAATAAATAAATCTTATAAAAAAAAAAAAAAAGGAGGGGGCTCAGGGAAAGGCTGTGTGATTTGGAGCCATGAGAGCACCCATTTATTTCAAGTAGTTCAAAATCCTCTTTTATCTACTTTGTGTATTGATGTTCCATTTATCTGTAGGATAAATGTATTTATCATGCTTTTAGAAACCCATAGAAGTTTCAGTGCTGCTATTCTAGAAGACTTTTAAAGTTCCTGCTAACTTTAACATTCTAGAATGCTCACCATTTCTACAATGAACATACATGTACATGAAAGCAGTTCAAGGAGGTCTCACACGGGGTTGTCCTATCACCCTCTCTGTGACATTACCACACACACACACACACACACACACACACACACACACACACACACACACCTTTACAATGAAATGTCTATCACTCAGTCACTTGCTCTGTGAGCATATAACTAATGGGCTAATATGGCTATTTGAAGAGCTGCTTTTCATACACCTTTTGGTCAGATACTTCCTACTTCTCATCTCAACATCTAGGTCAACGCTAGTGGAAGTGCCTTCCCCTAAGAGACAGATGACCTGAATTTCACCTAGAACCTGCCAAAGGGACTCTTTGCTAGGGCTTGATAAAGTTAGCATGTCAGTATCCTCTGTCAAAACAAGAAGAATTGAAATATTGAGTCTGAACTTCTTGTCAGCTATGAAACGCTATATAATTCATTTGAGGCTTTGACGCTTGAGGCAAGCCAAAATAGATACATATCAGGCAAAGAAAATGTGAGTTCACCGAGACTTAGAAAGGCTTGTCATGAATAGGATGCACTGCTATTTAATTCTCTTTTCCTAAGAATTGTTTTATTATGTATACAAGAGCTGGGGTGTAGACCAGAGGTCTGTGGGGGGGAGGGGGTGAGAGGATTCACCAGAGACAAAGTGGGGAGCAGAACAGGCAGATTGAAATACACTACTATAAGGGGAGCAGTGGGCAAGAAAGGAGAGGTCTGCCGTGCCATGTGGGTCACCTCCCTGGCAGTGACCACTGATAGCTTCATAGTGCTGAGACTTAACTCCTTGCACCACCAGAGAGGTCCTATTTAAAAGTTAACTAATAGAACAAGATGAACAAAGTAACTCAAAGCTTTTGAGAGAAAACTTTAAGGAAGGATGGTCATGGAACCAAAGGAACTTGATGATTCACTGACCTGTTTTCCCAAGCTTCTTTGAAGAGATTATCTGAGTATGGTTTCAGACACCCATCACTCTTATTTTTAGCTCTGAGTTCTCTTCACGAGTGTGGTGACCTGTGTCTTAGAGTCCCACAGGGCTCCCAGATAAGGCTTATGATTCATTTGCAGGTACCTTGCATTGATTTCCAAGAAGGTCAGGGGAGTAGGAGTCTGGAGAAACGATTTTAAATAGAAAATTCTTCTTTGCTCTTGTTCTTGTTCCAACCACTTGCTCAGAATTTATACTTAACAAATTGATCTCAAATGCATAGGCAATGGGCCATTAAAACACAACCCAAGTGATCCTGAGGGCCTCACAGCTGGTTGTGGGGAGTGTGGGGAACAAAACTCAGGGCTTTGGTCACGGGCTATTTTCAGCCTCTGATAGCAGTTGGTTACTCACGTCTCATTCACCCTCTCCCCTCAGACTCCCTCCCGCCCTTGCCCCTGAAGGCCAGGGTGGTGACAGCCTCTATATATTTAAAGAGGACCAGAGCCCCCTTACTCAGTTGAGCTGACTGACGGAGACCTCACAGGCAGGTAAGGGGAGCCTAGCAGGCATTTAGAAGGGGGGTTGAGGGGAGCTGTTTGGGGCTAAGTAGGACTTGGAGCGGTCCCCAAGTATAAGGGTTCATTTCAAGTACCCCAAGTAGCAGCATTCACACTGGTTCTGTGAAGAGGCTTCAATTATATTCGATTCTGGTGTGGATCTAGCTGTTGTTTAGATAATTCCTAAAATGGTAATTAGCATTTGGGGGTTCAAGGGACCAGCACAGACAGAGAAATAAGCAAGGGGTAATTTTTGGTCTTAGACTATTCTCAAGGTGGAGTGATTCTTAAATTTTAAACAAAAAGCCTGCCTTCTAGTCCTAGAGTTGCATAATGAATGGATGTGTGACTGAGAAGATACCTGCCCTCAGGGTCTTGATCTCCTGTGCAAATATACCACCAACAGATGTGGCAGTATTTTTCTAAACTGTTAAGTACTGCACTGTTATAAAGTAGTTTTAACACGCACTATAGCAGGCGCCAGCTTTCCAATGCTCAAAAATACAAGGAAATGTGCTATTCAAAAGTGGAGAGGGAAAATGATAAGATTTCGCTACATTGTCTTTACAGAAAAACACTCAGGGAAGGCCTATTGGTTTAAAATAGATTTTATATGCCAAAGCTGTTCACAATAGGTTTGCTTTGAATAATTTAAAGTAAATAAAAACTGGACCTCCAAAAAGACATGGTTAGGTTGAAAATCCATTCAAAGCTCCATCTAATGAAAGGATAATTCCCAGCCGGATATGGGGTGACTCCCAGTGTTCCTCTCAGTTTCAGTCAAGGATTTTTTTAACATCACAGTGAATGACAGGCACGAGTGTAACTGAGAATGAGAAGTGGTTTCAAGCAACATCTGAGTGGAGATGCTGCCCTAAGATCAAAGCCACCCTTCTAAGTTCCATTCCCATCCCTAAGTGGGGGCAGTGACTGCCAAGGAGTGGTCAGGTGACAGTTCGGAGGGACCTGCTCTCTTTGCGATCATCAGTGCCATTTAATGAGCTTGAATTGGCAAGTCCTGGGTCTGGGCTAGAGAAGCGAGAGGCAGCACCCCCCTCCCCCGGGGGCAGGTGGGCATGAACAGCAGGGAGGTGGGGAAACTGGGAGAGCCTGTGTCCTCAGTGAGAATGTCCAGCCCATCACAATACTTGAAACTGCTTTATGGCCCAGAAAATATAGGGGACTTGTCTTAGCTTAGCTTCTGTTCTGAACAACTCAGTTCAGAAAAATGAACTCCACTGATTGGCAGGGAGCTAAAATGGGCCCTTCCCCGACCAGGCACACAGGTGGTGCTATACAAACCAGATGCTCATGCTTCCTGTGGGACGTGGGTGCAGGGTGTGTGTGGTGGGGTGGGGAGGCAGCTCGGGGAGCAAGGGAAAGGCAGAGCAAACACGAGAGAAGCGCAAAAGAGCGAGCGCATCATTCACCAGCCAAATAGCCACCATCCTCTTGAAGAAGTGGAGACAGAATCATGGTAGAATACAAATTCAGAATCCTGGGAATTGAATAAAGAAGCAGAAAACACAGGGAGCGTCAGTCATAGTCTTAAAATTCCAGCTCTGAGCAGCATTCAGCTTGTCTGTTTCTACTTTCTGAACAGCAACATGAAGGTGAGGCTGCCTATCCAAAGGGGGTTGTTAGAGTCAGGACTCAGGACCAAACCCATAGGCTGCACAAGAATTTCCTGCTAAGGACAAGTGTGATGACACAATCCAGAAGTCAGAGTAGATCACCAGAAATCCAGATAACCAGCTTTCTGGGAGTTCCAGGCTTCATTTGTTTGACAAGAGGAAGGACACAGTGAGGGTTGTAATGCCCAGAAAACAGCGCCTGAGGCAGGCAGAACTCCCAGCTGCTCGGGTGTCTGGGAACCCTGCCACCAGGGTCAGCTTCTTGGCCAGGGTCATCTTCTTGGCCGATAAGTGATGAGATGCCCTCACCTGTGAAAAAGGGCAGGAGAAAAGCAGGAGGGGGAAAATCCTGTCTTTCTGGGCCTCTATTCAGACCTCATCTTGGGAAAGGGTTGACCATGCTCTGCTGACTGTTTACACCAGTTTATTTGACTGCCACAGAAGGTCCTAAAAGATGTCATGCTTTAGAGGAAGGAACGAAAGTTCAAGGGAGTGATGGAATCACTCAGGGTCACATAACTAGAAAGTGGGGGAGCCATGGAGTAAGCCAGGATGAGGCTGGTCTTTGCACGTGGATTTTAAAGGGCAAGAGAGGACAAGCAATGAGCTTCTGAGAGAACAAGTTGGGCATATTTAGAGGTAAATTCAGAAAATCCTTTAGCTGCGCTATGTGTTATGGCCCTGGTTAAATGGACTGGCACGCCCACCATGTCTCAGTCTGAAAAGGATGAGGGCCAGCGCTGGGGAGGACGCTGTGCCAGGACAAGCAGCCTCTGCTTCCCAGGCCTGGGGGAAGGGAAGGGCCCCTGCTGGGATTCCTACATCTGAGTTCAGAAGCTTAGGGGAAAGCCACTGACCTTGAATGTCCTTTATGGTAGTTGAAGGGCAAGGTCTCCCTGGGCTACGGGGACTCTGCTTGGGGGTAACTGCCAACACCAGGAAGCCCTCATCCCAGGCAGAGGCTCAGGCCCTGGCCTGACTTGCAGTTCAGGGAGGCAGGTACCCTGATGTCTCCCTCCCCCCCATTGACTCTCCCCCTCTCCCCCAGCCTATCTGTCACTCTGAAAACTGAGAGACAGAGTCGGTTCACAATCTGCATAAAAGGGGTCATGGGGAAGAATCAGGGAGCAATTTGCTTGTTTTAAGAAAATAAATTTGAAAATTGGAGCTATAGTAGCAGTAGCAGTAGTAATGCAAGCAACTAAAATTATTAAGCAGTTATGTACTAAGCATTATAGAGTATTTTAGCTATCAACACTATTTTATTTAACCTGAAACAACCTCTGAGACATGCTGGAGACATCCTGTCTTTGCATGCAACAGAATACTGGGCCGAGGGGGGATTGAGCAATTTACCCAAGGCCCAACAGTTACTGCTTTTGGAACTCTGACCTGGTTCTTTCTGGAACCAGTGTTTTTGTTTTTTTACTGTGCTATGTCATATCTTTTACCTGGATTAAGAGAAGAGAGAGGTGAGTGGGGGCAAGTGGAGAGATGCCACCAGGCAGCTTCTGGTAAGGCACCAGTCACCCCTCAAATCCCTGCAGTTGCTTCTGGGTGAAGGACCCTTGACAGGATTTCACTAGATATTGCAATACTTGACCATCATCCCCAGCCAAGCACAAATCAATAGTGTGAGGAACTCTCCAGACTCAAGGAAGCCCTTTCTATGTTTGAGTAGCAACCAACTCTTAGAAAGTCCTTTTCTTTACTGACTGGAATTCTGTTTCCACATCACTCCCACCCATGAGCACCCTTTCTGTCCCATGGAGACCCAATGGATCCACCAAACTTCAGTTCCCATCAGCTCAGAAGTCTGATGGGTGGAGCAGCTGACCAAGTCCCTTCTCCAGCGCAGTTTAAGTAGGGACATGCCATAGAGAACCTTGCCATTTACAACTCACTTCAAACAAGCCACTTAAGAACTGAGTCTCAGTTTTCCCACCTGCAAAATGGGAAAAATGAGATTGGTTCTGCAGGAAATAATTTTTTAAAAAAGATTTATTTACTTATGCATACAGAACTGGAGTACAGACCAGAGGTGCAGGGGCGGTGAGAGGATTCACCAGAGACAGAGTGGGGAGCAGAACAGGCAGATCGACGAAGTACACTGCTGAAGGGAGCAGTGGGTGGGTCAGGAGAGGTCTGCCGAGCCGTGTGGGTCACCTCTGAGGCTGGGGATTGAACTCACAGTGAAGCAGCAGCTAGCTTGTGGTGCTGAGCTTTATTTAACCCACTGTGCCATCAGTGAGGAGCCCAATTTTTTTTTTTACAATATATTGCAGATAGTATATGGAAAGCAACTATGTAGAGCAAACAATAAACAGTGATTTATCGTTCAAGGGACAGGCTGAGACTTATGAGAAGCAGAGTGGTTCTGGAGTCAGAGAGACTTAAGTTCTATTCTGCGTGACAGATACTAACTGTGTGCCCTTGGGCAATGTCATTTGTCTAAGACTCCATTTCCTCATTTTGACTAAATTCTGTATAGCACTTAACATGAGGTTAAGTACCGGCCCACGGGTTGTGCTCCAGACTGGCTTCAGTAACAACACTGCCTTATGAGCAGTGATTAGAACCTAGCTTACATACATGTATTCCTGTGATCTCAGATCTTTGCTTCAGCCAGTGTAGACAGTGTAACTCAATATGTGGCATCAGTAAGACGACCGTGTGAACCAGCACTGACCTGGAAACGGCTCTTCTGCTCTCTCACCTTCTGGCTAACGGTCCCACCCAGGTTTTTAAATGGATTCCTACAAAGAAGAAACAGAATCATTATTAAGTTCCATTGTATTTACCTCACCTACTTTTACCCAAGTATCAACTTTCACTCTACATTGATAGTTTAAAAAAAGTGTTGGATGAGGAAGAATGTGCCCAAGATAAATAGTGTGGTTTTTCATTAAAATATTCAGATGATTATTTTTACATATCCTAGGAATTGTTGCAGAACTAATTTATTTTTACGTATCATTTTGCTCTACAGTCTACAGTGCTTTGATATACTTGAACTGCCACGATTCTCCCAGCGTTAGTGAAATGGCTGGGATCCTTATGCCCATTTTAGAGAAGGGAGACTGGTGTTCAGAGAGCTTGAATGGTTTCCCACAGAGCACATCTCTGAGCAGAACAGCAACTAGAACTCCAGCCTCTCCCTTCTGAGCCAGGGCCTTCCCCAGCCCCCACTCCAGCACATCCCCTGTGATATCTTCCACAGATTTGTTTGCTCAGAAGTCGACACAGCTCATCTCTCAGAGGGACCTGGGCATCCCAAAGTGAAGTCCCACTCCCAATAGCAGCAGTGAACTAGGGGCTATCCATCTATCACGGGGCTGGCATTCCATCTCATGCTCATGAGTCCAGGCTGTCCCCTGTTTTAATCCTGACCCACGACTTCATCTGACAACACAAGCATCTCCGGGCCTGGCCCGGGGAGATGTGCCAGGTGGCGTGATGTGGCGTGACTCAGGTGACAGATGGGGCTGAGTGACGGGCAAGCCTATATTTGGCGTCCCCCCCTTCAGTCACCCTGGCTCTACCAGGCAACGCTGATAAACAAGTGGCCATCCCTTAGTACCTTTCCAGCATAAACTCGACATTCCAAGCCTGGCTAGGGGAGTGTTGAGACACAGGAATTCCAAAACAATGCAGGGGCTACGAAGGTTACATGTGTGAGCCAGGACCTAAACGTGCTTTCAAGTTGCAGTGACTTAATTAGAAGGTCAGTGCTCTTTAAACAAGATGGAAAGCTGTGCTTTGTCTTTAAAGAACTTCTCTCTATTGCTTTTCATTTCACCCTATTCCTGTGATTTTTCACAATAGTCCTGAGAGGAAAGTGCAGAAGATAATATTTTTGCCATTTTCACCCAAGTTCAAGGTCACAAGGTGAAGATGGGAACTTCCAATTCACCATGCTTGACAGCACCCTCTGTCTTTTAGCCTCACCCACAGGAAGAAGTCAGAGACGTGTTCTGTGTTTAGCCTCCATGGCTGCATTTCTATCTTTAGAAATGGAACTGAACACTGTCTAATAGAATGGCCATGGATTTCTATTTTGGGTTTCAAGTCCTGACATATGTATGTCAGATACTTACAATCACTTAAAACAATCTGTGCTGGGATGTGTTACCTCATGAAGAAAGTATTATCTGTCATCCTATCCTAGTAACAAGATGTCTAGGTAATTGCTGAATACACAGACACAGACACACACACACACACTCACACAAGAGGCATAGATAGCCACAGATACACACACACACACAAGAGGCATAGCTCTCTCCCATAAACTTGCAGGACATCACAATGAAATCCTCACTGAAGATTTAAAATGAGAAATTTGACCTAGGGTTGTTTTCATTGAAAAATTCCACATCATTAAAAAGTTTCAAAAGTGTCACTGGCACATTCCTGGATGTATATTACAATTTGCCTCTCTCTATTTTATATTATGTTGAAACACATGTGTGTGTGTGTGTATGCGTTATGCTTTACTTTGTAAATGAGGGAATTGGTCAGTCATGAAAATCTATTCCAACCCCAAAGATCCTAATCTGGGCTCTCTTAATGGATACCAAATCATTCATGCTTTTCGTGTCCTCTTTTTCCAATGCCACCGTCCTCTGTCTGGTGAGCTCTATTCACTCTTTGAAAACCCCATTTGCATTGATGTCTTCTGTGTATTGAGCATTTGACTTGGAGAAACGTAGCCTCCTCACCTGTCCCTGTGGGAGGCCCATTCCTCCCTCCTTAGCGTTAGATTCTACCTGGAGGAAACAGAACTGTGAGTATCAGCAGGTGAATTTATTGTTGACTGGCTCTGGATGCATTTTAGACACTTTATCATTGTATGTGAAACAGCAGCAATGAAAGTTCAGCTGTTAACTCTGGGCTGTTTTGCTCACCGATTTTTTTATATAGTTTTTTTTTTACATCATTCTTCATCTTGTGCATTTTTTCATCTCATTTGTAATCCCCACAGATATTAAGCAATGAGAGTGTTCTAAATTTGTACAGTGTAGTTTTTTACAATAAATATTTTATAAAAGATGAAAAATACAAGTCACTGCTTTCTTCCCCAGCCTCCTCGGGGGTAACCATTCCCCTCTGAATCTGCATGGCTGTCTCACAGCACTCTGTTCAGATAGAAGTATGCTGCTCTCCTCTTAACCCCCTAGAATGTGAGCTTCTCATTGCTAAGGGACACAGATTACTCACGTCTATATATTTTTCGCCCCTTGATCCCTCACCAAGTACCTAACACAGTGCTTTCCACATGAGAGGTAGGTAGTAACTCTTGCACGAATGAGTAAATGAGACGATGTCAAGACTTAATTCACAAGTCATTTCTCTTCATTCTACTAAAGTACTTGAAGTATGATATAGAAGCACTAAATGTTTCCGTTTTAAAAAGTCAGTTTTGACAATTTTACAGAATACCAAGAAGCCCCTGCTGTTATGAAAAGTTGTTCCTGACTAACCTTGTTGTTTTTGTAAGTGAGAACAATTCCTTGAAGAACATTTAGAAACATGTTCCCCATGATCTTAGAGTTGAGTTCAGAGGTCTGTTTGCTATTTACCTTCGGTTTCTTAGCAAGAACTTTCTTTGTTGTGAGTCTGGGAAGCACATTCTGGACCAGTTTGACTCAAACAGGGTTAGTGTTAATCCCAACTGTTGTAAGAAGGTGGCCAGCTTCCCAGAAGGGAAAGAGAAGGTCAGAAGCAGCCGCTTAGAATGGCCTGATGTCAAAGGCTTGGTGTCAATGACAAGACAACACAGCAGGCTTCTTAGAAACCAAAAAGATGCCAGTGAAAATTCAGCGCCAGTGGGGCTGGCTGGATTTCACTGATATTGATGATTTATTTTAGTTCTGCTCTGGGGAAATTGAAAACTGAATTCAACTTACACACAGACACAGAAAGAAAAAGAATGTTTTTGATGTCCCTCCTGGTCCAATATCTCTCCAACATAATTCTCTAGTGAGGAGACCAGGGTGCTCCGGGAGCCACTGAATAAACTCAAAGGGTGCAGGAAGACATGCAGGTGCAACATCACCTGGCTCCTTAGTCACACCTGTGAGTTCTGTCACTCACCTTCGATACACTGTGCCCTTTGGTCCTCTAACCAAAACTGGGACCCTGGCATGGGCAAACTCAATGCTTCATAGCACAGGTGGGGAAAACAGCTGAAATGGGAGCCAGGCCATTCACTGCTTGCACACAGCAGGTGTGGGTGGCTCTCTAGGTGGGATCTCGTGAAGGGCCAGGTTAATTGCTTGGGCAAGGATATTTCCTGAAAAAAAAATTAATGGATAGGAGGGATACTTCTGAATAGATTTTATATGTAATGTATTTTTATCAGCACGTTTAGTAAGGCTTTGCTCTCCAAAGGTGGCCCACAATTAGAAGCATCGGTATTGCCTGGAATCTGTTAGAAATGCAGTGTTTCCTATCTCTCCGCATTCTTACAAAGCCAGAATAGGCCTCTCAGCAAGATTCAAGATGATTTGAGAAGCAGCTAGTTAGCTAAGACAATAACGCCACTTTCACAGATTATTCCTGTTTCTGATGGAACGATTTTTAAAACCCAAAAGTGGAAAACCATCCTACATAATATTTGTATATAATCTTCATGCACAAAATCAGCTTATCCATTCTTCCCAAGAATCCTATCAGGCACATAACAACAGGTGCTATCAAAATTTTACAAAACTAGAAGCTGAGTCCCAAAGTGAGTTTCTCAGAGCTATTTGCCTGTGAGCTTCTTCAATGACCTACACACAGTTGCTTACTGAATGAGTGAGTGGATGAATGAATGAACCACCCACACACTGGAGCTGGATACATGTGCTACTTGGGATTGCTGTGCTCCTGAGCTCACCTAACTTTAGGGTATTTGCTTTGTGTCCTGTTAGACTTGACCTTGATCAGAGAGGCCACACAATGCCAAACTGGGGTGGCGGAGCAAAATGCGGAGCCTGCGAGAAGACCGTGTACCACGCAGAAGAAATCCAGTGCAATGGAAGGAGTTTCCACAAGACCTGCTTCCTCTGCAGTGAGTTGGGGACACCATGAGGGCCCGCGAGCATCTGAGGGCATTTTGAAGTTCACAGTTAGCCATTCACAGTTAGCCACAGAAACTGTCTATCAGTGCTTCTCAAAGTATGGCCCCAAGCAGCATGTTGATGTATCACTTGGGAACTTATTAAAAATAGAAACTTCAGACACCACCGAGAGCAGGGTTAGTGCTCTCCTGAGTACCTTTCTTCAGCCGTGTGTCCAACTCAGAGGCCTTTTCCTTGCAGCTCAAAGTCAGACCAAGCTGGAGAGCCCCCTGCTCTCAGTGCTGAAAACCTTGACCCAGTGGTGACATCTACAAAGTGTGACTTGGCAGAGAAGGAAGCCCTCACCTATCGGGAGCCAGGGAGCTTTTGGCTCCAAGTGTTGCTCTCACTGGCCAGCTGTCGCTCGAGTCAGCTGTGACTGGCATTTCCTGAGACAGCCTGTGTCAGGTGGGGAGCAACGCATGCTCGTTCTGTAAGATTCGGACAGGGAAGCATTGGCGGGGGGCAGGCACCAGTCGCTTGACAAAGGGATCTTTACCATCACCTGCTGGACACAGATTCACAAAACTGGCAGATCTGTCAGACCCTGTAGCTCAGGTGGGAGACTGCTCTGCCCAACCTGTAGGACTCAGCAAACCACTTCTCTCGGAGCTGAGGTCTCAAGTATGTGCAGCAGAGTAGAATCAGCACTCCAGATTCCCAGTCGTCTCTTCGGCACACCGCATTCGCGTGTTCCATCCTTGGTCCTGTTTTGGGAGGAGTCTGTTTGGGTCACTTAGCTTCTTTGCTTCTTTCCGGTGGGTGTGATTTCAGGGCTGGCTGTGTTGGGGCCCTGACCTCATGGTTCCCCATCCCATCCCCTCACCCTGGAAGGCCATCAGCATCCCATTAACCCAAACTGTTTGATAAGGAACTCCAAGGGTTGGGCTTCATCTGTTAAGGCAGGAAGACACTCCATCCTTAAGCTGCTAGAAATGGTAATATTTTATCTGCTGCAGAAGTTTTCATTATCTCTTACCTCCCACAGCAAACATAATTATCATCGAAGAACAGGAGGAAACACTGAGTGACTGGGTTGGTGGATTTACTAGTGCTTTGGATTTTAATGATGGGTAATTATTTTTAAGCCATCATACACATCCATCAGATTCACCATCATCATTACAATTATCCAGAAGTTCCTGCGCAAGAGGGTTTATGCCACGTGCTCTGGCTTTTGTCCAAAAACAGTCATTGTTCTTTAAAAAGAGTGAGGGTGAGGCATGCCGGAGAGGACACTGCACCTTCATGGACAGTGCTAGGCTGGAGTCTGGACTCTGCCTGCCTTTACCAACTGAGACCTGGAGCAAGGTATTTTGCCATCAAGCCTCAATTTCCCCATCTATATAATGGAGATGGCTATACCTATCGCACAGCATAGGGTTCCTGACATGAAAATCCAACCTTCTAGTCCTCTCTTTTCTTTTGATCAGCTTTGATATCTGAGTGAGGACAGGAAGTGGGAGGGGCACTTTCAAGAGTAAAGGGGTCCTTCTCTCCATGCAGATGCCCTTTTCAATGGAGCCCTGGGAAGACGGAGCTGAGCACCTGGTGGTCTAACCCTTTGAACACTTTGATAAGTGTTTCTCTGGTGGTCACAGAAGGGTCCCGGCCAGGAGCGTGCTTTTCTGTATTATCATCACAAGGCTTACCCACTCACATGACTCCTTCTGGTCCTTGGAACTAGTGTTCAAAGTGAGACAGAGTCTACCTTAGCATGTCACCTGGCTAGTGTTCTAGAGTCAGGATTAGACACATCTTAATCTTCCTTTCTTGCACTGTTTAGAAGAAATATAATGCCAAGTCACTAGAAAATTTAACTTTCTAGTAACCATGTTTTGTGAAGGTACACCCTTCTCCTCTGCCACACTTAGAACCATCTCATCTACTAACCTTAACTTTATCTCCCACCCCTATACTCAATTATTACTTAATTTTTTAAACAACAAAAAGTCATTTGAGGAAGACATACTGGTCTGAAACAACCTCACTCAATGCTAGATTGTCTTCAGAGATCCCTGACAAAATTGGTTTCAAAAAAGCAAGGGAAATTAATTAGGTACATGTGTATTATTCATGGGGATGTGACTTCACCATTATAAACACTGAATATCATCATAAACTATCTTTAAGGGTCATTGGTACAAAGCAATACAGCAAGTTATAAAGTTGTGCAATCCTACACATTTTAAAAAGCTGTCCTGATATTATGTTAATAGGAACTTCTTGTCTAGATACAATTTCCAGGTGACAGATACCTGCTCAGGTATGAACATGGCTGTTTCTTAAATAACAAAGACAAGAAGCCTGCTTTGGAGAGCTGGGTTAGCCACTCACAAACAAGTGCTAGGCTTGCGGGAGATGCTGAGGATCAAGATGCAAAGAGAGATTTGGATACATTTGGTGCCCGAATCTATGTGAGATTAAAATCATCTCCAAATTGCTAGGTTACTGGTTTCTATTATAAATGAAATACTATAAGTAGACATTTGACATTGTCATTTATATCCCTAAAAGTTCATTCTTTCAATTGCAAAAATAATCTTCTATAAACCTTCCTTATATATTTTTTATATTTATCATGGATGATTTAAATTAGATAATGCAAGGAACCTGGGGGATTTAACCAAGGTAAGACTAGTCTATGAGACAGGTCTACCCTTTCACCACCTCTCCTGTTTCCAAAAATGGACCCAGATTAGCCTCAGTGATAACTGCCTCCTTGAACATCACCACATTCTTCATAGGCCACGAGTAGAGAAACTAATTCTTATTCTGATATAATTAAAAAGTTCTTCCCTCCCCTGACCCATCCCTACACACAGACATACTGGCATACGGGTTGAGACGTTCAGGAGTTCAGGGTGTTCCCACTTAGCCTTCTAGCCAGCTGCCTTTGAACAGGTTACTTCCATTTCCCCCAGTCTTCTCATCTGAAAAATCAGGACTGTCTTGGAATCTGCGGCTCGGGCCAGATGTTCTGATCAGGAGTCAAAGATGTGTCCTGGGCACAGCCACTGGTGCTGTGTGTCTATACCTTGGAGATGGCTCTGAAGGTGCAGAGCAGTGGGGAGGAATCTCACTCCCGACCCCCTAACCTCGCTTTCCTCGACAGTGGCCTGCAGGAAGGCTCTGGACAGCACCACAGTGGCCGCTCACGAGTCAGAGATCTACTGTAAGGTCTGTTACGGGCGCAAGTATGGCCCCAAGGGCATTGGGTTCGGACAAGGAGCCGGCTGCCTCAGTACGGACACGGGCGAGCACCTGGGCCTGCAGTTCCAAGAGTGAGTACTCCCCGCCCACCCACCCTCAGGAGACCCTTAGGAGGACAGTTCATTATGTTCCCATAGCAACATTTTCTGGAAGTGGGGGAATGGACTCAATTGTTGACTTGCCAACAATAGGAATACTCAGTCTGACCAAGTTTGAACAGTGTGTCAGTTTTCCCAGCACTCTCTTTAAATTATCTGCCTTTCTAAAGGGCAATTACTTTTACACCATGGTTCATGGTTTGCATGTCAAGAGAAAACTCAGAATGTACAGATGTTCCATTGTTTGACCTTTGCAAACCTGCGAGGAGTCTCTTTTCTTCCCCTTTGAGCGTTTCTGTGTAAATCACATAAATATGGCAGGGAAGCAGTGGCTGTTCACTGTGTACTTGTCACAAGAGATTTCTTCCCTTGGGTTGTTAAATGACTCATGTCCACATCGTGGGGGGAGGGGTGGTGACTCAGGAGTAAGCAATCTATTGTGACTGTGCTGTAGGTCTTCCCGCTGCTAACAGAGTGCTGGGAGTCCCCTGACATTACCTCAGGAGAAACAGGAGCCCATCCTGTGCTGTTTGCACCCACCACACTGTTCCCTGAGGTCCAATTTCTTGGTGATCATGTTGACCGCCAGCCCATAGCTGTGCCCACACTGACAATGCAGAGCCTGCAGCTGCGAGCTGGCCAGCTGGTGCCCAGGCTCAGAGCTGCCGTGGGACTCAGCAGAGACCCAATCTGAGCTAGCCGATGTTCGCGGAGGGTCACCCCAGTGGCAGCGACAGACCATTTGAAGAGTCATCTGGTCACTTCCAAAGAGAGTGATCCATGGAAGAGCCTGGAAAAGTAGTGTGATTCGCCATTCTGCTTTCTCTCCTTAATCAACTCCAACTGGAGACAGCTCGAAGAAAGATGGTAGCAAACAATTCTGTGCCTAGAATTACCCAAAGCTCACTTAGGGCTTTCTTGTGAGGCCGCACATGGAGGAACATGAGAGGAGACCTGGGTTTCAGCCCAGCTCCACCAGTAAGAGCTGTCTGACCTTGAGCTGGTACGTCTCTGACTCTCCCCTGCAAAGCATCCTGTCTGCTTGGAGGCTCCTGTGAGACTCATAGGCTAGAATATACAGGCTGACCCATTGATTGTGACCACTTTATTGTGTACTGCAGAGATTGTTCTTTAACCAACACCTTCCCTGGGTAAAAAGAGTACAACTCAACGAAGGCTCAAATGATTGCACTTTTTCTTTAGCAGTGACTATTGTTATGCTAAGGTATGTATGTTGTTTTCCAAGACCCAATGCTATTACTTGCCTATTGAACTAGAGTACAATGTAAACCTGATTCATCTGTGCATTGGGAGACCAACGTTTTCTCGTGACTCGCTTTCTTGTGGAGGTCTAGAACTGAATCTGTAACAACTCTAAGGGCATTTGTACAAGAAAATGCCACAAGCTATGGGGACACAGGGCTTGTAGCCATTGCTGTCAAGGGGACAGGTGGCCTTGGATGCAGGATGACAGCTTGAATGGGAATCCTGGGCTGTGTGGTGTGTTCACATCAACTGTCAAGATCCCATCTTGTCCTCTAATATCATTTCCACAACTCACTTCAGAGAGCAGACAGTGGGCATCGAGATGCTTTGGAGAAACCTGTGTAAACGGTCACAACAGTAGCAACACAACAACAAAAACACAAGTGAGCACACACAGGCCACTTGCTAAGGCCACAGCAAGGAAAGGCTTAAACCAGTTACAACTGCTGCTCATGAACCCTTACTACAGACCAGCAGGCTCCATTCTAAGTGCTTGGTTCACATTGCCTCACTGAACCCTGGCGACCACTCAGCGAGAGTTATCCCCATTTTCTAGGTGAGGAGTATAAGGCACAGAGAAGTAACTCACTCAAGGTCACACAGCTAATGCTATTTGCAAATGGAACCCATAGGTTTTATATGCTTGTCTATGTCCACCAGGTCCCCAAAGGTGGCACGCTCGGCCACCACCAGCAACCCTTCCAAATTTGCCAAGTTGGGAGAATCCGAGAAGTGCCCCCGATGCGGGAAGTCTGTCTATGCCGCTGAGAAGGTGATGGGAGGCGGCAAGGTAAGGACTTGGGAGAGCTTGACGGAATGTGCTCACCTTCACGGACTCAGTCAGGAGCAGTTAGAAGAAAGTAGGACCTGTGAGAGGGAAGGGCCAGACCGTCATTCTCTTTAGCTGCCAGGAGCCTCTTTAGGACTGTCCTCCTCACCCCCCTTCCTTTCCTTATCCTCCCAGAAAGGTGTCAGCTCTGGGACCCCACCACCACCCTATAACTCAGCCTCCTGCTGGCACGGCTGATGCTATACAAGCTGCAGAGAGAAGCAGCCTCCTCCCAAGTGTCTTGGCTTTTGGGACAGTCGTTGAATGAGGCAGAAATGCACTCACTCGCCAGGGTGTTCAGCACAGGATTGAGCCTGGTGGAAGAAAACAATCTTGTTTACACTATGCAGGGAAGGAAGGGCCATGGCTTCGATTCTAGGGCTGTCTCCAGAAACACACAGAGTTAAAACTAAGAGAACTTCCTGGATAATTATCTTATTTCTGCACTTCTTCTGTTCTTCAGCTTTATACTTGGTGTAAAGTTGACCCACTGCCCCAAGTTTAAGTTCTCTCTCCAGGTTTTTCTTGGTCCTCAAGAAAGGGAGGCCCTTTCCCTTCAGTCTGTTCCACAGGAATAATAGGGAAACTACAATTTATTTTTAAGGGCTTTGAGAATTCCTGGCCAGGTCCACAGCATCTCATTGTTTCCAGATGGCTAGAAAATTTTTTTCTGGAGGTCAATTAGGTACTTAACTGATTAAGACAGTGGTGTCCCTTCCTTTCTGTCTCTCAGAGGGGACTTAGCGTGCCTCTCACTACATTAACTCTGTGCCCCTCTGCTCCCCCTCGGCCCCTCAGCCATGGCACAAGACCTGCTTCCGCTGTGCCATCTGTGGGAAGAGTCTAGAATCCACAAACGTCACTGACAAAGATGGGGAACTTTATTGCAAAGGTAAGTGGTTCCAGAGACTCTCTGGAGATCGTTTCCCCAGGAGCATCCTTGGAGGGGAAGCTGAGTCCAGGAGAAGCGTGTGTCTGCCAGGAGGCAGGAGACTCAGTCTGGTCTGGGGCACAAAACTCTCAAAGGAAAAGGACCCACTCTCCTGGCCCAGCCCTGCTCCTCTTCTGTTGGAGGCCTGGCCCCAGGCTCACAGAGGCTCAGTGCCCTCAGCGCTGAGTGCCAGCTGGGAGAAAGGACAAGGAGAAAGCAGGGTCTGACTCTGGTCCTGGAGGAGGCCTCAGGCCTGGACAAATAGCACCCTAGACCCAACACACCATCTCCTTAACATGTGCTGTCCACCTGAACAGCAAATCTGGCTTGCTGGGGGAGGATGAGCTCGGCTTAACATCTTCTGACTGCATTAAGACTTATGTCTTTCTCCCTCCCTTCCTCCTTTTCCTTTTGTGTTTCTCTCCCCTCCCGCCTCCCTTCCCCCTTCGTCCCATCCCTCCTGGCATTCCTGTCCCTGATGTTGCACATCACTTAGTGATCACAGGGACAGAGCTGACAGCAGGCTTTCCTCTGGCCCTTGCAGCTCTCTCGCCGGCTGTCTTGTGTTCCTTTGTCTGTGGAGATGTAGCCGAGGCTCAGCTCCCTGACTACACAAAGGATGGGGAGGTTTGGGGGTGAAGGTAGTGTGCCCTGAACCTAAGACTCTCCCCTAGGTTTATTCTGTTCCTCACTGCGGCCCCTTGTCCCTTAATGATGGTATCTCAAGATGTCCAATGTATGTGCTGGGGTGGGGTGACAGATGAGATGGAGGAGCAAGAGGGAGGACATTACTTATCAAGACTGTAAGGTCCAGGGTGAGGGGGCCCAATGGTCTATGGTAAAGAAATAGGGATGCTTTGGGGGTGGGGGTGGTGTGGAGACATCCATCTGAGGTGTGAGCCTATCCCCTAAATCATATACAGCATTGTAAACAGACGTGACAACAACAATAACACTGCAGGGATGTCAGATAAGGGGGCCTCTCCCCCTCCACCCACATATCCGCCCTTCTCTGAGCTGCCCCTGCCTGGCACCGAGTCATGTCGGTAGTTCTGGGGAAATGGTGGCCTTCGACCTCAGTCTCTTCACAGCCTCCAGGTGTCTGAGTCACTGAGCGGGTGTGAACCAGGTGCCGGGGGAGCCACCTAGTGCTTGGACAGGTGACTGGAGGCCTGGGTCAGGGACTCTGGCAGGGTCCAGGGACCTATAATCTGGCGAGAAGACCAGAAAGTTCCTGTCCCGCTCTGGACGTCAGTCTCCTCACCTATGTGATGGCCATAGCAGAACTCCCTGCCCAAGGAGAGGGGTGAAGAGACCCCCTAGGATTTTGCCTCTTTATTTACGTGAGAGCAAGCTGGGTCATCAGCAGCATTACTGGAGCTATCTGAGGAAACTCAGTCAGGGTTCTTGCTCCTGCCTAGTCTGATCCAGACATGCAATATGGCCTTGACATCGGCCACCAGAGGTTCCATCAGTACTCAAAGGTCAGAAGCTTCATTAAACTTTGCTGGGTCCACTTGGCCTCTGTGAACTTCTTTGAATGGGTCATCCAAGACACTTACCATACAGCAGAAACCATCTTAGTTCTTTGCACATTAAAAAACAATTTTTAAATAAAGGGGGTGCATTAAGTTGCCAAAGCTTTTCCCATAAGATGGGTGGGGAGTAAAGCACTGTCTGAGGGGTTGCCGCCTCCGGGAGGTGGAGGGGCCTCAGCATTCAGTGGCCCAACGTGCAGCTAGCACTGAGATCTGCATGGGCACCATTCAGTGCATTTCCAGATGGTAGCAGAGGTCAGATGCAATGAGAAACACACTAAGAGGCAAGTGGAGCTGGGGGTCTAAGAGAAGGCTCCTTAGCAGACACCATCTGGTCTGAGGGGCAAACCTGAGTCTGAGGCGGAGCATTCCAGGAATGGGGAGCAGTGAGTGCCCAGAAACAGAGCTGAGACATCTTGTTTTTTCCAGGTACTGTCCTGGAATAGAGGGAGGGAGGGGGTTTGAAGCAGGAGGCAGGGGGCAAGGCAGGGCAGAAGATCAGGACCAGAGTGTGGCCCTCACATCTCTGAAAGCCTTGGATGAAGTGCAAGAAGGTGAAAGAAGGTGTCAACACGTGTTGGTAGACCTAAAGTAAATAATTCCACATATTTAAAGACTAACCTAGGAATAAATTTATCAGAAGGACGGTTCTTGCAGGTGGAAGAACCTTGCAGGCAGAAGGAATTAAGATACTGGCACTAACTGCCCATTCTCACCTTCTTGTTCACAGTTTGCTATGCCAAAAATTTTGGCCCTACTGGTATTGGGTTTGGAGGTCTTACACAACAACCGGAAAAGAAAGAGTGAAAAGACACCGCTTCTCAGCTCTTTCGCCAACCTGAGGCTTCTGTGTGGTGTTCCTGCCCAGATTTGGGGAAACCTTTCCCCCAAACAGCTTCTCATTTGTCTGTGGACATGATTTCTCTTTAGAAGTGATGACTGTTTGGGCCCAAAGTTAGAAGAGACCTTTGGAAGAAAATGATTAAAAGCCTAATTTGTAACACATGCTTCGTTATTCACACCTGGTTGGGGTGGGGGAGGCAATAAATAAATGTGTTGGTGGTAAATGCTGTGTCTCTGGATCTTTTCATTCAAATAGAAGGATTTTTTTTTTTAATAGAGGTAGTGCAACGAAAGTGTGGCAGGAGAGGCAGTGAGTTTTTATGTCAAATGGGGGAGGGTTGAGGAGGAGGAAACAAGGCAAAAGAAAAGTCTCTGGAACGTGTCAGCTGAGCGCCTTTCTAGTGTCTGTTACGGGAGAAGAAAGCAGGAGTCCAGGCGGAGAGAGACAACTTGAGAGACTATTTCAAACTTAGCATGGAAACTAATAAAACTGCTGAAGAGTCGCTCCTTTTGTCGTCTCTGGAGTTGACAGTATCACACATTTTAGAAAAACTCAGAAATGGCAACAACTGTGGAGTTTGCTTCTGTGATATAAACGACAGGATGATTTTCTTTTATGCTAAGACAATTCCCTAGGGTATAGCAATTTTCTTAGAACTTCTCCATCAAATTGCCAGTCTCACAAATGAAATGTGGCCAATTAAAAATGTCTCTCCCTGCTTCCTCAGCAAGTTCTCAGCAGCTTGAACGTGTGTGTTTGCTTGGGTCCCACTTTTCACAACCACAGCACTTCTCCATCACCATGCAATTCTGAGTTATTTGGAATAAATGAGAGCAAATGAAAATCTATTGATAAAAACGATGAAACACTAAGCCACGGGTTATTCTAAGCTCCAGCACCCAGGAAGGTTTTTCTTTAAAATGAGCACTTGTTCGTTTCATAAGTGTCATCTTGTCATCGACAAGACCCTGTGCTGACTTCAGTACTTATTTACCATAGTTTTGGTTCTCAAAATGCAATTCCATCTGATCACTGCTTCTATTTGATCAGTATTAATAGAATGGCCCAGAAGAAAAAGAACAGCTGGCAGGGATTGTGCTTCGTTCCACTTGTCCAGACTCCGGTTGGGGTAACCCAGCCAAACTGAGTTCCACCCAAACTGCCAGAGGGTGGAAATGCTGTATATTGTACGTTTTTAATTTGCAATTTGGTGGGTATGGGGGCAGAGCCATAGAAGAGATCCCACCGCTGTTAATTGTATAATTTATTAATGCCAGTGAGAAGCCGAACACTAAAGCAAGTACATGCAAGTTTTAATTGTAACCTACTACCTTGGCTCATTGGTGGGAAGTTCCTTACGCTGGGGACTGGCAGAGGGCTAAGGCCCGCATGTGACATGAATACAGAACAACACAACCTGACCCTCCTGCCCTGCTGTCCTTTGCAGCTCTGGCCCTACCACCCACCCACCCAGGGGGCAGAAGCTGAAAGCTTGCTCATTCCCCAAGCTCCCTGACTCTGACTCCAAAGTACTCCTAGCCCATTGTCCTCATTCCAACGCTTTGGTCTGTGTCTTAGCAGGCTAAGGTATCTATACAGAATGCCATGGACTAGTGGCAAAGGTCAGGAGAGCTGATTTCTTCTTCTTCTGAGGCCTCTTGGCTGCCATCACCATGTCTTCTGTTCTCTTCCCTCTGTGTACCTGTGTCCTCAGTTTGTCTTTGTATTGGGTTAGGGGCCATTGGAATCACCTCATTTTTACCTTCATTATTTCTATAAAGACCCCATCTCCAAATACAGTGACATTCTGAAGTACTGGGGGGTTAGATCTTCAATGTATAAATTTGGAGGTGGGGGAGGCAAGGACATAATGGATTTTCACACTCCAATCTTGCCTTACTCCTTCAATTTAGTTTTTTATATTTTTAAAAATTTATTTATTAAAAAATTATTTATTTATGCCTATAAGAACTAGGGTACAGGCCAGAGGTGTGGGGGTGGGGAGTGAGAGAATTCACCAGAGACAGAGTGGGGAGCAGAACAGGCAGATGTTCTGAAATACACTGCTGAGGGGAGCAGCGGGCCAGTCAGGAGAGGTCTGCCACGCCATGTGGGTCACCTCGTGCTGCAGTGGCTATGGATGGCTTCATAGTGCTGTGTTTAACCCATTGCGCCATCGGGGAGGGTCCCCTTCAATTTACTTTTAAACAATCACTTCAGTAGAAGCTTCAGCCATACTCAAAAACTTGCAGCTGTCCACATGTCACCAGGATGTTGCTTGTGCTATTCTTTTTGCCTGAATGTCTGCAAAGTGGAAGGCCCTCATCTTTGCCCTTTAATCTAACTCCTAGCCTGGCAAATTCCTATCAGTCAAGTCTCAGGTATAACACCATCTCCTTTGCAAAACTTTCATAAATTCAATTAATCCACATCTGTGTTCCATAGCCATTATATAATTAACATAGCACTTGCCTCTTGCATTGAAATCTTGAATTCCCATCTGCCTCCTTGTTAAAATGCGACACGCTTGAATTCACAGTGCTTGACAAACAGTAGACACTTAATAAACATTTGTTGTAGAAGTGAAGTGGGAGGGAAGATAGGTCAGATTAAATGTAAATTCAGCTTGCATTTGAAAGAAGAAATTATTATAGGCTGGAGTGAAAGAGCTTAGAAGGGTAAAAACAAAACCTGGAAAAGCAGCTTGCTGCAGTTTGGCAATCTCCCTTTCCCAGGCTCCCCTGCCATTGGCTGCAACAAGGACTTGGCCTTCCGGACGTTGGAGAGTCTCCATTGCCCGGTGTCTATCGATGCAGGACACCGAGGCCTTAGAAAATGGTGGAGTCACTGATTGGGAAGGACTTGGCCTCTGCATGGAAAATACCAATTAGCAGCTAAGTAGATGCAGAGGAGAGAGATAAACCTGATATAGAACCACTGAGGTTTGGTGGATAAATACTGTAGTGCCAATAAGCATATGTTCTCTATCAATTCACAGATGGGTTAAAGGAGAGTCCTGGTGACCTCAGTGGCTTTTTCAGGCTTTAATGCTCTTTCTACGCAGAGTGTTGTGGGGCAGGCCTTTGGGCTGGTGAGCTGAGCAGCCAGTACCTCAGGAGGCTGGCAGGCCTCCCAGTCCCTGGCAAATCTGATTCAGGGCAGCCAGGGACACTAAGCTTGCCACAGCCACTTCCCAAGTAATTTACCAGTTACTGTCTGGGCTCTTCACTGGCATGGACAACTGGAAGACCACTCAGGCTTAGGGTTTTTAACAAACCAGGGGAAGAATAAGTTATTGAGACCAATAATGGCTGTTTCCTTTACCCACAGCCCTGTCTAGTACTTTCCAGTGCTGTACAAAGACCGTGACAATAGTGTCTTCCTGCCACTGAGGCTGAGCAACTCTGCTCTATGTATCCAATATGGTGTCTTCCTGCCATTGTGGAAACGTGACAAACTATAGGCCCGGATCAGATACAGACACAGCAGAAGATGCAACAGGAGGTCCCTCCCTAGTGATACAGGGAGTTAAACGCAGCACTGCAAGTAAGCCGCAGCTGCTTCAGTGCCAGTTTGATCCCCCACCCCAGTGGTGACCCACATGGCGCGGCAGACCTCTCCTGACCCGCCTGCTGCTCCCCTTAGCAGTGTGAGTCTTCAATCGACTTGTTCTGCTTCCCACTCTGTCTCTGGTGAAGCCTCTTACTGCCCCTACACCTCTACCTGCACCCCAGTTCTGTATGCATAAATAAATAAAAAGACACTCAAGACCAAGCCATAGTGGCCAAACAACCCAACAAGCAGCCATACTCACCATTTTAGCAAGACGCTTGGCTCCCGGTCTCCCGTCCTCTCCAGGACACGCTTCGGCAAGATGCCTGGCTCTCTGGGTCTCCCACCCTCTTTGTGAGGCAAAACAAAACTGCTCCAAAATGACTGCTGGGATAGGCCGTGTGCCATGGCCTCCACCATGTGGCCCGTGCCCACAAAGCCCAGCTCTCAAAGCCCACATGGAGCTGCCAGGGCCTGTTTTTTTACTCCCTTATGTACTTAACCCATCCACTTTTAGCATCTTCTCGGGGCTTTCTACTTTTACCAGCAACCCCAACCAGGGGGCACCACCCGTAACAGTTTATAGCTTCAGCCACCGGTTACAAATCTTTACCATTTGGGGGGCTCTCTCTGGCATTGTCTTGTGGTCCTGCTTCTGTAGTCACTAGTTCCCTCACAGCCCAGCACCATAGCCGTATTCTCTCTGAGTGACAACCCTCTCAGAGCCTCAGCCTGCAGGTGCAGGTGCGCTGCTCACACACGCCCACGCCACACTCCAGGTGCACCATCAGGCACACGCACCCCGAGCCCACGCTCCCAAGCGCCTTCTGCCTGCAAAGTTGCAAGTGATAGCCACAGAGGCCAGCGGCGTAAAAGCCTGACCAATTTCACTTACCCTAAGATGACATTTACTCCCTCGGCTAATATGCACCTGAAATATTGAATGTGCTGTATCCAGAATATTCCACTTCTCACTGTTAGGTGTCCATTCTGTCTAAGTCCAGGGACTATCAGCAGGATTTTGCCTAATATCTGTGAATGTGACCCACCTGTGTTAACTTCAATATAAACATATGGATATTTGGGGCAAAGGGCTGAAGTTAGGACAAGATACTGTAATAGTTGCATCCCTCTGGCCCCAACAAACATGAGTAGGTTTGCCTTGGCTTTAAAACAAACGAGCCTCAGCTGTTACACACTCAAGCTACTGCCCTCTCACCGCTCCTATCAGCCAGACTCTATGACTAGATTCCCTTCGGTCCTGGGTGCTCAGCACCTGGCTTCTCATTCGCCTCCTCGCCCCACCCCTCCTCACCTCATAACCGCAAGCTCTGGCCTTGCCTCCTTCCCTCCGCTATTTTCAATCTCTCCTGAGTACCTGGTCACTGCTAACTTTTTGAAATAAGTTCTTCTCCCTGAATTCTATATCACTGTCACCTGTCCACTCTCCTCCCAAACACCTCTTTCTCCTCTAGCTCCCTAAATATGATAAGTGCACTCACCTGCTCTTTAAGGCATCTGTGTTCTTCCTGTCTGCTTGCTTTGGTTGTCTTTCACCTCTTGAGAAGTGACCTTCCCATTTCAGGAGAACAACTCAATGTCTCTCCTGTCACACCCTTGTTCCTTTCATGCAGATGTC